TAAAAATATAAAAATTAGCCAGGCATGGTGGCATGCACCCATAATCCCAGCTACTCTGGAGGCTGAGGCAGGAGAATCGCTTGAGCCCAGGAGGCAGAGGTTGCAGTGAGCTGAGATTAAGAGTCTGCAAGACTGTCTCAAACAAACAAAAAAAGAAACACATATGCTCAGGAAAATGTGTTTATTACAACTTTGTTTGAAACAATGAAAAGATGACAACAATGTAAATATTCAAGAAGAGGTGAATGAATAGGTAAAATGTATATATTCATACAGTGTAATAATATGTAACTGTTAAAATGAAAGAAGAGTTACAAGTATTAACATGAGTGAATCTCACAAACATAATGGTGAGGAAGTTGTCAAATTCTTTGTACAGGATGATAGATGTATATACATTTTTAAACATTTATATAAAGTTAATTGACACTCATTAATGACACTAGATTTTTGTCTGTGTACATACATATGTAGTAAAATTAAATATATGAAAATGAATGAGAATGTCTACTAGCTTCAGGATATGGTTCTTCTGAGAATGAAGAGAATGATTAGGAAGAAGTACAAATTGGACGTGACCTCTATCTATAATATTTTATTTATTTAATAAATAAAAATATTCAAAGCAAGTGTCATAAATTATTAACATATGTGAATTCAGGATGATAGGTACACAGAGCTCTCTTTTATTAAATTATCTTCCATGTATGTTTTGACAGTGCTGCCCTCTCTCAGTTCATATATCACAGTCATGAGGTCTATAGAGAGAAGAGTAAGAATTCCACGAAACAGAGTTGGTTTCCATGGCAGTCTCGCCTCTTCACTATCTTTCAGAAGATTGCCATGAATTGTTGTTTATCTGCATCTTATAAAGAGGATTTTTGAAAGAAACTAATTGAAAATAATTCTACAAATGGTAAGCTGGATAAAGAGCCAAGACCCCTCAGTACGCTGTCTTCAAGAGACCCATCTCACATGTAAAGACACACATGGGCTCAAAATAAAGGGATAGAGGAAAAATTGCCAAGCAAATGGAAAGCAGAAAAAAGCAAGAGTTGCAATCCTAGTTTCTGACAAAATAGACTTTAAACCAACAAAGATCAAAAAAGACAAAGAAAGGTATTACATAATGGTGAAGGGTTCAATTCAACAAAAAGAGATAACTATCATAAATATATATGCACCCAATCCAGGAGCACTCAGACTCATGAAGCAAGTTCTTAGAGACCTACAAAGAGACTCAGACTCCCACACAATAATAATGGGATACTTCACACCCCACTGTCAATATTAGACAGATCATCAAGACAGAAAATTAACATAAAGATATTCAGGACATGATCTCAGCTCTGGATCAAGTAGACCTGATAGACACCTACAAAATTTTCCACCCAAAACAACAAAATATAGCGTCTTCTCATCACCACATGGCACTTACTCTAAAACTGATCACATATTTGAAAGTAAAACATTACTCAGCAAATGCAAAAGAACTGAACTCATAACAAACAGTCTCTCAGACCACACCACAATCAAATTAGAACTCAAGATTAAGAAATTCAGTAAAAACCACACAACTACATGGAAATTGAACAACTTGCTCCTGAATGACGCTTGGGTAAATAATAAAATTAAGAGAGAAATCAAGAAGTTCTTTGAAACTAATAAAAACAAAAATACAATGTACCAGAATCTCTGGGAAACAGCTAATGCAATATTAAGAGGGAAATTTACAGCACTATATGCTCACATCAAAAAGCTAGACAGATCTCAATAACCTACCATCTCAACTAAAAGAGCTGGAGAACAAAGAGCAACAAACCCCAAAGCTAGCAGAGACAAGAAATAACCACAATCAGAGCAGAACTGAATAAGATAGAGACATGAAAGATCCTTCAAAAACTCAACAAATCTAGTCTTTTTTTGGGGAAAAACAATAATAAAATGACCCCACAGAAATACAAGCAACCATCAGAGAAAACTATAAACACCTCTATGAACATAAACTAGAAAATCAAGAAGAAACGGATAAATTTCTGGGCACATACACCCTTCCAAAACTGAACTAGAAAGAAATCGAATCTACGAATAGACCAATAATGAGTTCTGAAATTGAGGCAGTAATAAATAGCCTACCAACAACAACAACAAAAAAAAGCCAGGACCAAATAGATTCACAGCTGAATTATAACAGAAGTGCAAAGAAGAGCTGGTACCATTTCTACTAAAAATATTCCAAACAATTGAAAAGGAGGCACTCCTCCATAACTCATTTTATGAGCCCAGCATCATCCTGATACCAAAACCTGGCATAGATACAACAAAAAAATAAAATTTCAGGCCAATATCCCTGATTAAAATCAATGCAAAAATCCTCAACTAAATACTGGCAAACTGAATACAGCAGCACATCATAAAGCTTATTCATGATAATCAAGTAGGCTTCATCCCCTAGATGCAAGGTTGGTCCAACTTATGCAAATCAATAAGTATGATTCATCACATAAACAGAACTAAAGACAAAAAACACATGATTATCTCAATAGATGTGGTAAAGGCCTTCAAAAGAAATCAATATCCCTTCATGTTAAAAATTCTCAATAAATCAGCTACTGAAGGAACATACATCAAAATAATAAGACCCATCTATGACAAACCCACAGCCAATATCATACTGAATGGGCCCAAACTGGAAGCATTCCCCCTTGAGAACTGGCAAAGACAAGGATGCACTCTCTCTTCACTCCTATTCAACATAGTATTGAAAGTTCTGGCCAGGGCAATCAGGCAAGAGAAAGAAATAAAAGTTATTCAAATAGGAAGAGAAGAAGTCAGATTATCATTGTTTGCATATGACATTATCCTATATCTAGAAAATCCCATCATCTCAGCCCAAAAGCTTCTTAAGGTGATAAGAAACCACAGTAAAGTCTCAGGATACAAAATCATTGTGCAAAAATCACTACCATTTCTGTACAGCAACAACAGCCAGGCAGAGGCTCAAATCAAGAATGAACTGCCATTCACAATTGCCACAAACAGAATAAAATACCTAGGCATACAACTAACTAGGAAGGTTAAAGAGCTCTACAAGGAGAACTACAAACCACTACTCAAGAAATTCAGAAAGGACAAAAACAAATAGAAAAACATTTGAGGCTCATGGATAGGAAGAATCAATATCATGAAAATGACCATACTGCCCAGAGTAATTTATAGACTCAATGTTATTCCCATCAAGCTGCCAGTGACTTCCTTTGCAGAATTAGAAAAAACTACTTTAAATTTCATATGGAATCAAAGAAAGAGTCTGTATAGCCAAGACAATACTAAGCAAAAAGAACAAAGCTGGAGGTATCACGCTACCTGACTTTAAACTATACTACAAGGCTACAGTAACCAAAACAGCATGACACTGGTACAAAAGAAGACATATAGATGAATGGAACAGAAGAGAGAACTCAAAAATAAGACTGCATACCTACAACCATGTCATCTTTGACAAATCTGACAAAGACAAGAAATGAGGAAAGGAGTCCCTGTTTAATAAATGGTGCTGGGAGAACTGGCTAGCCATATGCAGAAAATTGAAACTGGGCCGCTTCCTTACACCTTATACAAAAATTAACTCAAGATGTATTAAAGACTTAAATGTAAAACCCAAAACAATAAAGCCACTAGAAGAAAAGCATATCATCCATTTTACAACACATACAGAATTAAAAATTGAGGCATTGACTATCAACACCTGCTAACATCAAAGAAAAAAAAAGAGACCACGAGACATAATACACATTCTGATAGAAGAAAAAAAATACCTCCAATACAGTATTCTTGTTAAACAAAGAGAAAAAGTGGGACAGAAGGAAAGAAGGGAAGAAAAAGGAAGAAGAGGAGGAGAAACAGTGATGATGGCAACAATGACAAAAGAACATGTTAAACATCATCATACGTGGCAAAATCCAAGCTGTGGGAAGCTCTTCAGGACACATGACCTAGTGTCTGCAACAAATAATTTCCAAAAAATAAAAGAAGATAACCTATGAACACATATAAATAAATCATAATACAGACCTTATTTAGATCCTAACTCAAAGAAACTTTTAAAAATTATGTACTCAAGGATATTCCTGATGAACATCAATGCAAAAATCCTCAATAAAATACTGGCAAACCAAATCCAGCAGCACATCAAAAAGCTTATCCACCAAGATCAAATCGGCTTCATCCCTGGGATGCAAGGCTGGTTCAACATATGCAAATCAATAAACATAATCCATCATATAAACAGAACCAATGACAAAAACCACATGATTATCCCAAAAGATGCAGAAAAGTCCTTTGATAAAATTCAACACCCCTTCATGCTAAAAATGCTCGATAAACTGGGTATCAATGGAACGTATCTCAAAATAATAAGAGATATTTACGACAAACCCACACCCAATATCATACTGAATGGGCACAACCTAGAAGCATTCCCTTTGAAAACCAGCACAAGACAAGGATGCCCTCTCTCACCACTCCTGTTCAACACAGTACTGGAAGTTCTGACCAGGTCAATCAGGCAAGAGAAAGAAATAAAATGTATTCAGATAGAAAGAGGGAAAGTCAAATTTTCTCTAGTTGCAGATGACATGACTGTATATTTAGAAAACCGCATCATCTCAGCCCCA